CCAATCAGTTTATATACACCATGAATGGCTCTATCGCCTGGTTTCCTCAGAGGGGGTCGAATGGAGTGACACACAACTTTACTTCAATATACGCAGGATCGAGTGACCAACCAGATATGCGAGGGAAGTGTTGTAGGATACAAGCCTAAAAAAACAAGTATCATTAGTTAGTAACGACATCATAATAATTAACAAAATGACATATATACAATATAAGACTAAGAAATATTACCATCAATAGTATGATGTTGTCGGTCATCTGCTTCGTCTTCCTCCTACACCCTTCAAACAACTTAGTATACAAGTACACCAAACATGTGGCCCCCCAATTGTACTCATGGATCCGCTCAAAGTCCTCAAAATGTATGTATATGACATATGTATAAGTGGCACTCGTGTCCATAAAAGGGCAATGTCAACCAGATACAATAAGTATGCTCTTATAGCATAGGCTCTGTGTTGGGCTACCTGCTCGGAATCACCATCATCCTGTTATCTCATCATCAAACACCTTTTGCAAATATCTAAATCTAGCATGAGCACCATGAGTTTGGTTCATCTCTTTCATAACACTCTATATGGTAACTCATAAGTACTCTACCATCAAGTTCAGTGCCTCCTCTTTGCCACACATCCCATGGTCTAAAAAAACACCCTCTTACCGAAAGTTACAGCAGACTGGCGATATCGTCCAATGTGATCGTCATTTCACCATGTAGTAGATGGAACAATGACATCTCATCGTGCCATCTCTCAACTAAAGCGTTAATCATACAATGATTAACGATAGTATATCCACATAGGGTTAAATATTTCAATCTTAAAAGTTGTAAGACATTCTGAAACCATGGCTCACTGGAGCTGTCAGGCGAATGATCTTCTGCGCGTGATTAATGATCTTTAGCGGATCACGTTCCTGCATATATGGTTTAACAAAAATGATTCAACCAAACAAAATTTAATAATAAAAGAAACACTATAATAATTAATAGTTCCAACCAATATTTACCTCTTTGTCCCAAATATGTCTGGAAACATGGTTCAGGTATAGAGGCATAAATGATAAATCAAAAGGCCCTCCTCCAAAACTAGGAGGTTCCGCAAGTGCAACCTCATCTTCCTGGGCTTGGGGCTAGGTTGCATCAACCACCGACTGTGTGTCTGTAGGTGCGGCCTCATCTGCCTGAGCCTAGTACGTATGTGATGCCTCAGGGGCCTCATAGGGCTGAGGTTGGGATGCATCAGACACTGATTGCATGGCCTCAAGTGTCATTTAGGAGTGTGATGTCTCTCCTGCCTCAAATACCATATATAAAGTAGTGCGTCTACGTGAAGATAGAGGCGAGGAGGCATGAACAGAGAACCTCACCTACTGTGGAAGGACAAAGAAGAAGGCGATGAAACGTGAACACCAAAACCTGTAGTCACCTCTGCTATAATATGTCTAGAGGCAGTAGGAGCCCGGGATTTTTGACTTCTTTTCCTCCAAATTGAAGCATGATATGCAAGCATGTCGTGTCTCAACCTAGATATTTTCCCATCCATAACTCATGTAGAAGTATGAATCAAATGTTACGAAAATACTTGTGTTCAAAAAATGAGAAAAATGCAAACTTACTAATACCGGAGACGTATCTTCGATTTTTTATGTAAACATTGAAAATTTTCGAAAATGTATATCAGATACTACTTGCAACATTATGCTTCATCAATGGCAAAGGTTAGGCTACTAATACCTCAAAAAATTATCATTAATCATAAAAACAACTGTACCAAAATTTTTAATCTCGCTTCTAAGCATGCAAACACTAAAAATACTTGAATTATCTAACTTAAAACTCAATTTACATAGCATTTACAATAACTCAATAAACATTTACAATTTATAATTTTTGTTGGTTGATGAAGCTTGAACAATGATGTTAGATGGTGTTTGATTGTTGTTTGTTGATTTTTGATGAGATTTTAAGTATTTTTGCACAATGAGTTAGATAGGGTTTTGAGTTTGAGTTTCAAAATGTGTTTATGAAATGAGGAAGAGGAAGAAACGAGCGCGCATATGTGTGTCAACATATTCTGGAAATACACCTACGGGTCCCTCTGGTAAGTGCATATCTAGAATATTTTTGCGTGACATCTGAGGTTTCCTAGGCTAAACTATGATCTGCAATTGGAGAGCTTCCAAAAATACACATACGGGTCCTTCCCGTAAGTGTAACTCCAGTTAATTCCCTTCTCTATTATAGGGTCTTGTTCATTAATGGTCTGACTAAGGGTGCTTCTGGAAATACATTTCTGGATGTTAGGGACATTTACAAATTTTTCCACAGTGCGCTAGTAAGATATGGAATGTGTTAAGAAATCTTTTTTTTTTTTTTGTAATTTCTCATTGGACCCTTGTACATTCTCCCAAGTCTTGTGCAAAATTTCTAAAATGTCATATGTTTTTGGAGATGTATATCCAAACGCATCAAATCTATTTTAACCATAGATTAATTCGGAGATGTATCTTCGAAATTATTTTAGGGTGTGTTCGAAGATACATCTCTGAATTCACTTTTTTTTATTTTAAAATTCAACAAAATAATTCGGAGATGTATCCCCAAGCTAGGTGAGCATATTTAAAGCTCGTGTCAGACTCCTCCCTCTTCTCCTTCATTTTCATTTTTCAGAAACTCAAAATTTTCTCTCTACCTCACTCTATTAATTTGCAGTTCCCACTTAATGTCAAATTTTAAAGCAATATTTACTTGTATCTTTCCATTCTCAACTCCCTTTAACTATTGAATTCAACATCTTATCACTTTACACCCTCATCAACATATTTTTGAGTAAGTTTCTCATTTAGCTTATTTAAAATTTTGATTAATGTATTAGTTCAAATAGGTTAGTTTTAATGCATTAGATATCATTAGCATTTGAAATAGATTATCTATATACTCTGTTAATATGATTCAGATGAGTATGGATGATACTTGGATGACTAGGACAGTTGTAGAAAAGTTTACGCCATTGAAGTTGAACGGAGTTTTTTTCGGAGATGTATCTTCGAAGTGTTATGTTTCGGATTTTCGAAAATACATCTCCAAAAAAAGCTTCGTTCAGGAGGTTCAATGGAAGAAACGTTTCAAGGGATATAACAGGAAAAAAAGCTCATTTCCTCATATACTAATCTCGTTTGTTATGTCTTTTTTCGAGGGTTATGATTGAAAACAACGAGAGGTTGAGACTCGAGCAATCCACCCTAAAGGTGTCTGCTCGTCGCGACATGACTCACCAGCATGAGCAAATTAGAGTCGTATCCCCTCTACCTAATGCAATATTTATGAGTCTTAAGCTTCAACTTCTTCCTTATCACTTATCTTAAGTTATTCTTTAGTCTCTATTTGCGGTAGTTTGACTCCCTTAAAAGTGTTTGTCTTTTTTTTTACAACTTCTTCAAGATAAGACATTGACTAGAGAATCTTTGTATCAACGGGTTTAGTGTTAAGTCCTTAGAATTGATTTTCTACTTGTCTGTCACTTGTTATATTTGTGCTTCTGTGTGGTCTAGGATTTTTTTATGGTTGAGAAAGATAGTTGTTTTAGCAAGTTATATTTTATTTTTGTATAAGATTTTTCTTCCCTAGTGAATTTGGCTAGGATTAGTGGTGGTTTTATCATGATTTAGACATTCAATGGAGTGGACTCTTTGAAAAATCAAGATCAATTTAATCTTTTTAGAATCATCAATCGAGGAGGAGGTCTTGGAAGATAAGTATATCTTATTTGTTTGTGAATGACTTCTTAGTAGGTTGTTGTGGTGTGTTTGTTCTTTCTCTAATTGAATAGTAAACTTTATCTCTAATTGTGTCTTCCGACTATTTTGAGATGTGGTCCTAAGTTGCGTGTAAAAACTTTTTTTTTTGTTGATAGTGATTTATTTTTCTGAAACTCTTTATTTGATAGCTTTAATTTTTGTTGAGACTCTATTTTTTTTTTTTTCAATTTGATACAGTGTTTGTTTTATTTTCTTCCGCTATAGACTCTTTGGTAAGTTTGCAGTGTATATATCGTGTCTTTTTAACTAGTCTTTATAATTGTATTTGTTTCCGTCTCTCTATTAATATATTTTATTTACCGTTAAAAAAACCAATTTAGAGTCTAATGGTCCAACTTACTATATGTTTTGTTATTTGATAATACGTGCACTTGTCTCTGTCATATACGGCACCGATAAAGCAATACTAAACCTTGTGTCAATGAAAAAAAGAAGCAAGAATAAACCAAGAATATTCAATCAATGATGCCAAATAGTATATAATAATGTTTGATTTGGAATTCAAACTTCAAACATGAGCAGTTTGATAATTATGCTATTTTAGTGGTGCAAATCTATATTATTAAAGTTAACCAATTGAGAATACTTGTTGATGTGGGTGCGTGGAAGTGCAGCAATGATGAGTGAAAAATAATCTAAGAATATTAGCAAAAGTTAGGTTCTAAAATTTCAGGCAAATCGATGTGATAATCATTCATTTTAACCTTTTGTCAAACCATATTTTCAACACATACCAACAAAATATCAAGAGTCCACTTTGGCATGTAACATCATTTATTTTTGTTTATAATAATCACTAAAAACTCATGCATAATCATGAGTATTAAAGATGATTTCCAACTTAATAATATTGACTTCAGTTAAGTGAATTTGCAGACTTAAAAATAGAAAAAGGTTGCAACAAAAAAATTTGACCTCATACTCATAAATTGCACATGTTCACAATACAAGTAAAATTTGCATCTTCAATACATGATCATGTTCTTCACTCTTCCGATGAATCTATGCTCCCTTTCAAAAATTAGTCTTAGCAGTTGCGTGTATTAGATAAACCAATAGAAAAAAAAACAAAACTATCATTCCATTCTCAATTTCTTATTAAAAGCTACCTCGCGACTAAAAAAATCCAAAATAATTTGACCGAATTTGAAAGAATTATAATAAATCAGCACTACTCGTCCTATTCCTCGTCTTCTTCCTCTACCAATATCCTCTTGCAAGCTTCATAGCACATGAAAGAGATTCCTGCTGCTGGAACCAGCTTCATGCAGCTTGGTCCTAATCCTCTATACAAACCTTGAATACCTTCTTTCTCAAGTATGCATGCAAGTGCATGAATCACATTCTTGTAAACCTGTCTTCCACTGAGCGCTCCAACTTGCATTTGCTTGCGAGCCACTTCGAGTGGGAAAGTAGCGCTACTAGAAATAGCACCAGCCGCAGAACCTATCAAAAGGGTTTCAAAGTTTCCGATCTTCTCTTGCTTGAAAACTTTCTTGTACACTTTTCTCAAAGTGTCGTAAGCAAAGTAATTGGTGGCAGAATATGGAATGACTCCAATGAGACTTGGAGCAAGGCCTCTGTAAAGTTCCGAAGCACCTTCTTCTCGAATTATTTTCACAAACGCGTCCAGTAGACCGTTGTAGACATCTCTCTGCAAAAATGATGACAAGCTTTAAGTCTTGCTAAAGGATAAAAATGAAAAATCGCAAAGTTGTTTTTGTTTTGCGAATGCATACCTGGACAGTTAATCTAGTCTTGAGTAATTCAAGAGGATATGTGCAAATAGTTGAACTAACTCCAGCACAAGCACCTGCAATCAGTGATGCAGGAATTGGGAGTTTAGGCTTTTCACCCGGCTTTGATGAAAGGTTCTTGTTAACGGTATCATAAGCAAATAGCTGCAGAAAAAAAAAATATAGTCAATATTAATACTAAGTATATGTAAGCAATTCCACGAATCAGCATTCAATCACGAATTCCAATTATGGAAGTGCTTCATACTTGACTCACTTGGAGCAAGAGACATGCCTAGAATGAAGAAATTGCAGAAGAGAAGAGAAACAAAACAGCAGTTACCAAAAAACCGTGACTACGAAAGGTAATAGGTCTCCTTTACTTGTAAAATGTAAAACTATCACCATCTTACCACACGACATGCCTACTTGTTTTAGATTTGAATGGAATTAAACAGAAAAATCGTTAAAGGACAAGTTTCTTGCTACCTAAATTGCTGTTCTTTTCAGTTAGGAGAATATGAACAATTCAGTTGTTGAAAATGACTGGCGAATCTGGCAGCAAGTTAGATACCATACCAGATCAGATATTTGAATTGTGGTTGATAAAATATAAATGAAATCCGGATTTTATAATCTAAATCACCAACCAGCAGAGGAGAATGAAGGCATGTTTGTTCAAGTGTTTTAAATTGGGGTTGGGGCTACAGGCTACAGAGGCTACGGGCAATGCGACTGCTATGTTACGTATTGCGTAAATACATTTTTTATGTTGTGGCCGTTTACTAGTCACAAACACCGTAATATTGCGGCTGCACAAGGTGATGATGTTGCAGAAACCGCCGCAATCCGTAACCGCAATATTAACCACAACCTAGTCGCCGCGTCGGGTAATGTGGGCCACAATTTTAAACAATTACAACGAAAATATGAATGCTCCTAAAAGGAGAAAGAAAACAAACCCAGCCAATAGAAACAACTCTCCTGTCATGTAAAAATACAAAAAACAATGATTTTTCCATAAATAAAATACCGCGTTGTAAATAAAGTGTGCGATTGCAGAGCGAAATTTAAATACGCCGCTATTGCTTTCTGATACACTACTACTATTTGGTACAAAATGTTGTGAAGTGGCAGCTATAGCAGACTATTGCATGGCAGAATTAGAGGAAACTGCCACTTTCTGCTATACGCAAAATTTTGTAGTTGGTAAATAAATATTTCATGTCGTGACCATTTTACTAATCACACCGCAATATCGTCACCGCATCAGTTGATCCCCAATATTAACCACAACATTGCTGGCTCATCAGGTAATGAGGTCCACAATTTAAAACAATTACATTTAAAATATGAATGGTCCTCCTAAAGTGCAAACAGAAACCCATCCAATAAATACAACTCCCTTGCCATATAAAAAACACAAACCGCGCCTTAGCGCGTGCGCAGAGCAGAATTTAAACACACCACAATTGTTCCTCTATACACTAGTTAGTACAAAACATTGTGAAATAGTGGCGCGCTAACGTGCACAATTGCACGGAAGGATTTAAATACGCATCGCCGCAGTTCCTCCCTGATACGCTATTTAGTGCAAAACATTGTGAAATCTCAACAGGCAAATAGCACTATTGTGCATCATACTTTAGCCAAACAGCTATATTCCGCGCGATTGACAATAATGATAAGATCAAGAATCAAAAGTAACACATAGACAAAATCATTCAGCAACATGTCATGAAACAAAAACAATGAAAATAACAAAAACATAAACCTTAATATTACCTCAATAGCCTTGCTAGGTGCAACTCTTATAACATTAACAAGATTCCCCCTAAACAACCCTTTCCACCCATCAGTATTCATGATATTGTTAAACACCTCCCCACTAGAATTCCCACTACTCCCCACCATCAAATGAGTCCTAATAGTCTCCAAAGGCGCAACAGCAGTCCTTGAAACAGCCCCAGCAAAAGCCCCACTAATCAGCTTCCTCAAAGAAGGGTTTTTCACCTTAACCTTAAACTTCTTAACACCACCCTTTTTCTTTCTCTCAACACCCTCCACTATTTCACCCTCCTCCTCATCAGGAACACAAAGAATCTTCACTTTCCCCTCTGATTGAACATACCTAATGTACAGCTCAGTACAGGGAATCTTCATCCCATTCATCCCATTGTTTCGTTGAGAAGACGAGTTTTCAGAAGACGGAGACTTCGGATTTGGAACTCCACCAAACCCCATTCCCATTTGACTCATGCTTGCAAACAAACCACCAACAGGGTAATACCCTTGTTCCTCAGAATGACCTATATCACCCCACTGTGACCCTAGATTGGAGATTGAGAAAAAACCATCTCTTTTATCATCAAAGAGATTGCTTTTGCTGATTCCTTTCCTACCCATTATTCAAAACCTTGTGATAAACTAAACCCCTATAGAATTTTCGAAGAAAAAAAACACCTTAAGGCGGAGAATGCGAGAGGAGAGAGAGAGAGAAAGGGGGGTAGGTGATGAATCTGTGAGTGAGAGAGACTCAAAACAAAAGCACCAATCTTGTTCGCAATAGCGACTCGAGGAATGAATTACGCTGAATGAGAGAATTTATATTATGAGAAGAAACAGTACGAAACGGTTCGGAGATAAGTACAAAACGGGTCGGGTGGTAAGAACAGAAATCATAGTATTCTGTTTTTTTTAATAACCTTGTCAAGAAAAAGGTTACTCGTTTATTTTTTTAAAAAATTAGGTTATCTTAGAATTATATTATTAAAATTTGATTTGAAGAGTCCAAGAAAGAGGGTAGAATCCAAGTTTGCTTTTGAAAGAAATAGAGATTTTTTTTAAACAAGTAATAAATTTTAGTTGTTGTTGAAAAAATAAATTGAAACATTTATGTATTATATGTGATGACGCACCTATATGAATGAGGAATTTGATGTTTGTAGTTTCAATTAAATTGTTAGTTGAGAGATGTTACAATTAAATTGTTAGTTGAAACATTCATAGTATTTATGATTATTTGGATATGTGAAATTAAGTTTGTAAGGAAATTAATCCGATTGTTGATGATCTCTTTGATTTTTGAATTTTCTCTTACTTTTCTTTCCACCATTTTATTGATGGATGTTGCTTGTAACATCTATTATAGAAGATTTGCTAAATTTTAGGTGTATGTAAATTCGTCTTTTGCAAATAAATTATGGCTCGAGAGATACCATAATACTCATAGTCATTGAACACTTATATAACATTTGTAGTATTTATGATTATTCAAATACATAAAATTGTGTTTGTAGATAAATTAATTAGGTTGTTGATGACTTCATCTATTTTTAAAATTTTTCCTACTTTTATTTCCATCGTTTTATTGATGGATGTTGCTTGTACCGTCTTTCTTAGAGGAGTTTGTAAAATTTAGGTGCATGCATATTAGTCTTTTGCAATTAAATCTTTGTTTGAATGATGCTCTAATACTCATAGTCATTCAACACTTACATAACACTTATAGTATTTAAAATGATTCAGATATGTAAAATCGTGTTTGTAGGGAAATTAATCATGTTTTAAATAAATTTGTGTTTCTTAATATTATTTTTATCAAGATATCATTTAACAATTTTCAAAGAATAAGAAATTTATTTACATCTTCTTCACTTTCATCAAGTAACACTATCATTTTTGACGATCCTACGTTGTTCAATGATTTATTTTTTTGAAATAGTTATTGAATTTGTAGTAGACTAATAGAATTATGAAGTTGACGATGAAGTTGCATGCCATGATTTATTTATGACTAATAGAATTATTAAGTTGCATGTCATGATCACACAATGAAAAACACTTTTTAGAATTTGAGAACTACAATTTCTCTTCATAATACGACATATCATGGCCACCTTATTAGAAGGTGCGATTGAACGATTTGTCATAATCAAACATAGTTTTAAGCATGGACATTTGTGATCGAGTGACATATACTTTTAAATCGAGGTAGTGATAATTTCATTACAATAAGCTTTACCATGGTTGCTGATGTGACTTGCAATTGTACACAGTTGTTTGAGAAGAAATTGTGATACTTCTTTTAAAAAATTATATGAGTTACTAGTACTGGGAAAATTTATTTTTAAAATTGATTGCAAAATAATTTTGAAGTTTGTGGTTTCAAACATGATTTTGTTAATGGATTTTACAAACATCGATAATAAGAAAATGAGACAATCAGAAAAATGTCACTGATATTTCGGTAATGAGTACATTTATTTTAAGAGACGTTAATGCGACATACCATGGTCACCTTATTAGGAGGTGCAATTGAACGATTTGTCATAATCAAATCTAGTTGTAAGGATGGATGTTTGTGGTCGAGTGACATGGATGCTTTTAAATTGATGTAGTGATAATTTCATTGTAATAAACTTAATCTATGTTGATGACACGACTTATTACTGGACACAATTTTTTGAGAATAAGTTGTGATGCGTCTTTAAATAAAATATATGAATTACTAATAGCGGAAGCATTTATTTTTAAAATTGATTATAAAATAACTTCGAAGTTTGCAGTTTCAAACATGATTTTGTTAATGGATTTTACAAGCATCGATAGAAAAAAAATGAGACTGTAAAAATATGCGATTGGTATTTTGGTAATAAATAAAGTTATTTAAGAGACATTAGTAGACATTGATGAAAAATAAAAAAAAAATATATAATTGTATTACATTTCATTTGTTAGGAGGGGGAAGGTGTCTTTTGTAATAAAAGGAGATGTGTGTAATACTTGTATCTTTGAGGCAAAAGAGGATGTAATTTACTCATTATTTACCATTTTTTCTAAAGATAACCTTACACTTGTTATCTCTTAAGTTAAAATGTACTAATCAAAGTTATATTGATTTTAAGTTTTATATGCGAAGTATGATCTTACTTTTTTTTTTAATGAATCACACGTGTTATTGTAGATAGACGTGGTTGCAAGTATAATGTCTGCACAAATATGTTGATCTATTTGGTTTGGATGATGACAATTCTATGAAATGAAGTATGTCAAATCTTATCTATGAAGGACAACATATAATGTCAAGTGACATTCGATAAAGCCAGTGAAGATCTTTGATCAAGCAAACTCTCTAATGATGGTACCTAGCAATAATCCTTTTCAAGCATCATCAAATAGAAGAAGTCAAGTCCCGAATGAAGTGTTGAATCATGAATATATCAAGCAATGAATCTTGAATATTTAAGATTGTGAAATAGAGGAACTGTAAAGCTCGCATTGTTCATGTTGAGTGATATAGGTATAAGATTAACTCTTGATTTACTAGGGTAAATCACCCACATCCACACACTTTTAAATGATCATAAAACCTCTCTGATTTTGTTAAAACTACCACGAAACCTTTTTGTGCCTGACTAATGAATAATATACTCATTTTAATCAATTAAAAGGTTTCTTACATGGCATAATAAATTTTCCCATTAGGATTAATCAATTATCAGTTTTTTAACCCTAATAATTGATGAAAGGAAGACATAATCGATTAGTGACTACACCATTTAAAAACATTCCATATTTGAGTTATATATTTGATTATGTGATATTCATAATCGATTATGAGTATTAAAAAGTACATGTATTCTTTTTATTTTTTGAGTCAGACTTTGTCTTAAAAAAAGAAAGCTCATTTCTCATTTGATTTACAGTAGAAAATGTATTTTGAATATAATTTCTTACTCTATGCTCTTTTCTCTCTCTTTACTTCTTCTTCACTTTTGCCTTAGTGCATTGAGAGTGAAATTTACTTATGAGGTATTCTGGACTGGATCTGTCCTTGGCCCAACTCCCAGTGAGGCCCAACCCAAGTGTGTCAACCTGTACCATTAACTGGTTTTGTCCTCGAATACGGAGAGCAACTACCATCTTTTACCCGCGAGGAGACAACCTCACCACACAAGGACAACACCCCGAGTAGACTAAGGACGGTCACCTCCGACCATGAAGGCTTCGAGGACACTCCGACTAGCTCATCGACCAAGACTGGCCCCCTCACTCGACCTCGCATATGGTGGAGATCGCCCATGACGGGCGGATGCCACTGCCGAGCATCCTCCTCATAGGGATGACTACCAATGTCTTCGGATATCACGAAGTCTTCGTGGCCCCAGAAAGATCGCATCCATATCCTTCTGACCTTGCGGAGGACGTCAACCAGGTAGGAGACCACGTGCAGGTCCCCACTACTCACGTAGGACTTGGCAGTCTCTATATTGGGCCTGCTTGACCATCCCAATGTAGAGACCTTGGCCCAACGCTGGGGGCTATAAGTACCCTCTCTTTAGAGAGGGTCAGGTATTCAAAACTTTCTAACTCTCACGCTTGCTTGCTTATTCCGCAACTTACTTTGGCATCAAAATGTCTTGCAGGTACCCCCCACCTCACTCAAAATCTACTCGGTGAAGTTGTGACGGTCCATTTTGATCAGGTATGATCAGTGGCACCGTCTATGGTAACTTGCTTCTCCGTCTTCCGTTTACTCAAGACTAAAGATAAATCACTCTTCTGACTGTCATGGCTGATCAAACAATAGAAAACAACATGAACATCTGCATCATCAACGTCAACAATAATGTGGCCGACAATAATGTCAGCATCGACAATGCTGGTACTGTTGGCTATAATACGGCCTCCGCCATTAATATGCCCGGTCCTTCAGAATATAGAGACGGAGCAACTGCCTCGTCATCATCACTATCTCGACGACTTGAAGACGATTGGCCACCTCCTCAGAACTACCAACCTAACCAGTTCCAGGAGGTCTCCGTTCCCGCCGGAGTAGACGCCATGACCAAGGTACTGTTCGCGATGATAAACCAAATAAATTATCTGATCTTCTCTCAAGGAGAGAGATTGATGGCGCTCGAAGATGCTCATAGAGCCCTAGAAGACATAAGAGGCCCCATTCTCCTCCTCCTCGCCAAGTAGAGGAACATCCCCCAATCTACCCCGCGGAGACGTATGAGAGACGTCTCTCGAAGTCCCGCTCCCCGACCAATCAGGCGATGCCCCATATTGGAGAGGGACCAGCCCGTTAACACGGGGAGACGCGATCATATCCCCTTTCCTCAAGAGCAAATACCCTCTGGAGACAGGAGTAGGGGAAATAACGAGCGACCGTACAACCCGAGGAACGCTCCACGCGACCAGGGCTGCCACCATAACCACCACTACAATAGATCTCTTTCTCGCTCGCCAGACAGGAGTGACGAAGACGACCCCTGTAGTCTTGTCACAAGCCATCATGGAGGCACCCATCCCCTTGGGCATGGAGAAGCCTTCCCATCTGAAGGAGTACGACGGCATTTTCGACCCGGTCGACCACATAGACGGGTTCGAGGCAATGC